CATAAATAACTGCCATTCAAAATAGTCAACTTGCGCTTGACAACATAACATAGTGGCTGATGTTTGTTGCAATAAAACATAAAAACTTAGTTTGGTTCTAACCCAGTTACCAGGGTTCCTTTCTTTAAAAGAAAATGACGATAGTTTCTTAAAAAAACGTTTTGCTAAAGATATTAGTGGGGGGGGGGGTCCATTCCCCCCGTCCCTCCGGGATTCACGGCCCTGCACCTTGAGTGCATGTTCGAGTGCTTAGAGACTAAATCATAGATTCAAAAGTGCTCTCAAATAATTTCATGCTCAATAAACGTCGTCAACGATTTTGCAACATACCATATGAAATTGAAAAAGAAAAATTAGCAGTTCAGCACAGGGGTGGATTCAGAAAAAAATTTGACCGTTGCAGATTTGCAAACGAAAAAGGTGCAAAAATTTAATAACATTAACAACTAAAAACAGAGATGTCTTTTCTGAACAGCAGCATAAGCAAGTATTAAAGCAATATGATATATGATGGGTTTTCTACGTCATGGATGCAGGGTGACATTGGCCTGAATTGAAAAACAGTGAACAGTTGTTGAACACCTTGCAAAAGACATTAACCTTTAGAGGACTGGGTTTTTTTTGCATACAATATACTTGCATCAGAAAAGTCTTTCTTGGAAGAATAATGGTGCATTATGACCCAGTAAAGTATATATTTTTGAATTGCCAGTTTGTGAAGTATTCCAGAAAAAAATTATTTAACCTAATTAATGATCACGTGATCTCATTAATAATTCAAAATGGCTGACGAAAAAATTTTTTCCCCATCATTTCAATAATTTAGGAGCCAAAAGAGGACATTGTTCTGGTCACTACCAAAGCAAATTGCATTTACTATAAAGTTCTATCATCAGAAAGTCAGGAATCCAAATTATATTCAATTGTTTTATTTTTTCAGTAAATTATTGCAACTAAAGAATCATCTGGCTCTGAACCGCTTGACTCGTGTTCTTATTTTGATACCAGTTGCTATCACAAGAAAATTACCTATCCCTGAAGTAACTTACAGGAAATAAAAAAGGAAACCTTTCAAGAGAAATAATGTTACTTATAGCGAAAAGATATTGCTATGACCAAACTTTCAAGAATTCTAGATATTAGGTAAAATAGCAAAACAATAGTTCATTCAAAAAAAGTTAGTATGCAAAAAAAAGTTTATGAATTGAGATGTTCAGTAACAAATGATTTGAAAGAGTTCCAGTAAATTAGACTCTAGTATGCCATAATTTAAAACAGTTCCTATCTTTATTCAAGCAAAGATGTACATTGCACATCTCACAGGATATGTATGTTACATGAACCCCTGCAGCACGTCGATCAATTTTGCCAATCTTTCCACCTCTGCTTGACTTCACAGTTTCTTTGCATAATTGGCAGTCTTTTCTGTCTGTGTTGTACACAGGCAGATGTACTCCTACATTCTGAAATCTGAGCTCATTTTCATGTGCTACAGATGGACGACCTACAGTGCGCTTTCTTGCACGGTATTGCCCTATCAGCAACTCTATCAGCTCCTCACGAAAGTTTTGACGCTTGGGAGTTTTCTTGCCAACTTCATGAGGGATGAAGCATGATCCCAAGATGAATGCATTATGTATGCACAGCTCAAGAATATGGAAAAGCACCCTCCTGTACCATTTTCTTGACCTTCTTCCAATGTTGTAAAATTTGATCATGTGATCGCAAAAATCGACACCACCCATTTTCTTGTTATATGGCTGCACAATAGGTGGGCAAGGTATTTCAACTGCTCCCGTGTGTCCTTTTTTACCACGGCGCTTCACAACTTTTTCTTTATCCTGGATATCATCTTTGTATTCTGGCTCATGTATTGTAGACAAAAAATGTACCCCTTTGTTGTCAAGCCATGATGTGGCCAAAATACTTCCATTCATTCTCCAATCTGCATATCCACGATCTTTTCCTCTTTTACTTGCAATCACTATTTCCTTCGGAAATCCGCTTCTGTCCACTCTGGCTGTTCCACTTGCATAAATTCCCTTTTCCTCTAAGGATTTGAGCAACCAAGCCTTGGTGTAATAATTGTCCAAGTACAAATGATGATTTACATCTTGGTAGCCTTCAGTGAGCTTCAAAACTACTTTCTCTGCTAGGCCTTTTGAAATTGTTTGGTTAGCATCTTTCCCTGTATAGATGACAATCTCACTAACATACCCAGTGTCAGATTCACATAACACAAAGGCTTTGATGCCAAATCGTGCCCTTTTACTAGGAATGAATTGACGAAAGTAAATTCTTCCTTTGTATGGGATGAGGCTTTCATCAATGCATATGTCTCTGGATGGTTTATATACATTTCTAAACCTGTCAGAGATCAAATTTAGAAAGGACCTGATTTTGAATAGAGGATCATGACCATCTTGTCCTCTTGGTATTTGCTGATTATCATTACAAACATGCAAATATCTATACAGCTGCAAAAACCTGTCTCTTGGCATTACCTCTCCAAAAGAACTGACATGTATAAGCCAATTGATCTTTCTCCAATAGTCCTTTATTTTAGGCAATTTCAACAAGCCCATAGCTAGTAACAACCCAAAGAGTGCCTTCATCTCTGCAACATTTATGTTCTTCCAAGAAGACACATTTTTGCCAATAGCATTTGCATTTGTCATGTCAACAAGTAATTGCCATACCTCATCAGTGAAATACTGCTCAAAAAAAACTTTAGATGATAATTTTTCTGGGAGGCTTGTCCTTCTCATTTGTGGGCCTTGTTTTCCAACAAGCAGTGGAATTGCCCTTTCAGAGCATGTTTTGTTCCAGTTTTTATCATTAGCCCACTTCGAGTGCTGAGACTCTTCCTTTCTTGATTTCTTGGATGCCTTGCTGGCAAGATTTTGGCTTTGAGCATGAATATGTTTTTTCGGTCGGCCACGTGTCACATTGCTTACTGCAAATCTTGAAACGGCTTTTCCTTTTCCAATTTTCCTTGTCTCTTTCCCTGGTTTGAAAACATTTGTTTCTCTTTCCAATGAAATTTCATCAGGACTTTCAGATTCTAAACTTTCTGACTTTTCATCTACCTCTTTCTCCAAACACAATGACGATGGCCTAGGCGTTACAACTGACCCAACTGCAACCTCACTTTCTGATAAATCCATGGACTCACAAGATTCAGATTCTGATAAAATCTCACAATTAGAGTCTTCCTCATCGTTTTCTGATATTTCGCTGGCATCACAGCTACTTATATCATCAAAAACAAGCAATGCTTCCGCTGCGTCAAACTTTCGTTTTGAATGCGACGCCATGTTGAATTGAAAAATCAGGTGAGATTTTCATCTTGCGATATTTGGTCTTGTTTCCATGTCAACAGCATAAACATGAACAGATATACCACAGGTAGTTCAGAGAAATGTTTAAGCATCTGAACAGCCTATAGTGAGGAATTTTTATCAGGTTTATATGACATCATTTCAAGTGACGTCATGTTGTCACAGATCTGTGACTACCGTCCCCTAAAGGTTAAGACAAATGCATGTTTTCTGTTGTGTGGGCTATCTACTTTCGTCATAAGAATTTGAATTTGCATCAAAAGAGCTATCTTTCCTGAACTTTAGCATTAGCAACATGGATCCAAAACAGTGGCGGCTCGTGACTTTCACAGTTGGGAGGGCAGACCATCAATATTGCGATAATCGATAGAAAAGGTCGACTTTGCAAATTTTTCACTGTATTTTCATGGTTCGATGTTGATCGTCATGGAGCGCAGAAGAAAAAGCATAAATAGATGTGGTTGTTGTTTAGCGATGATGTCATTTTATGGGCAAAATTTTTCTTGCCCCGACTTTCTCCAAATAAGCCAATCACAGGCCGCGTTTCGCAATGCTCGAGGTCGAAAACTAGCTTCAAAAAAACTTTGCCCGTAAAATGACATCATCGCTCAAGGCACTAGCGGGCCAGAAGCGAGGCTAAGGACGAGACGGGATAGCAAGGAGCTTTTTCTAGAAGAGATACAAACTTATATAATTAACCACAGTAAGACTATCTTCAAAATTAAATATGAATATCATAGATTTTCTTTGAATCTTTTTGAGGGGGCATTGCCCCAGATGCCCATTAGCAAGAGCCGCCACTGTCCAAATAGCCTGGAATGAAAAACAGCGAACAGTTGTTGAACACCTTGCAAAAGACATTAAGACAAATGCATGTTTTCTGTTCTGTGGGCTGCTACATTTGTCATAAGAATTTGAATATGCTTCAAAAAGCTATCTTTCCTGAACAATAGCATTAGCAACATGGATCCAAATAGCCTGGAATGAAAAAACGTTGAACAGTTGTTGAACACCTTGCAAAAGAGATTAAGACAAATGCATGTTTTCTGTTCTGTGGGCTGCTACATTTGTCATAAGAATTTGAATATGAATCAAAAAGCTATCTTTCCTGAACAATAGCCTTAGCAACATAGAGTTGCAACTGTGATATCCGGAACTGTCTGGATCCGCCCCTGTAGCAATGAATGAAAAATGACTGCTATCAGGCGTGGTTTTCGGTCAGATCAAATGACTGCTATTAGTGGCATTTGGGCAACAAAAACAGCAATGGTTATTTCAGTGACCCCGGCATCATAACGAGGCCTTCATTTTTTCACCATTGCAGGGTACTTTAAAAGGTTGTTCTTCTCTAGCGTGTGTTTGCAGATTTTCCAACGTATTCACGAAAAGATTGGAAA